AAATACTTACTTAAAAAGGTAGTAATAATTAATAATATTACCATCAAACTCAGGGTCGACCCTGGCATGATAAGTTGTTGGCATCGGCAGCTCAAAGCTGTAACTATGTATGATGATGCATGCAAATTATGATTCAGTTGACGTAAGTACAAGTAAGAAATTAGCCAAGACTTAATAGTGTGAACACCATCTCGGTTACTCGCCCATAGTCCATACTTCGGTGTGCTGGCTAGCGCTTCGAGTTGGACAATTTTCCGCATAGTGTACTTGCGCCATAATAGCAAACATGTAACCACTCTCATTATGTATTAGGACTTAGGTAGTTGGATTTTCCACTCCACTGTCTGCGACATTTAAATAAAAGGGTACTTCTCATTTACACTCAAATTTGATGGTCACACAATAATAGTTCATAAACGGTATAAGTTAGAACAATAACTTTGATATCAGATGATAAAATATTTATTTAGCTACATACAAAATAAATGTTATCGTAATAGAAGCAAAAATAATACGAAAAAATCACATGGAACGATAAAAAACGGGGTCATTTTTCGCGTTCTCATCGTGTCACACCTTCGGTTGCAATGAAACATTTGGTTACTGCATTCACAATTTTCATTCAATTTGTGTGCAGCATATACTAAAATCATCGTAATTAAATATGCTTTCCACACAATAGTCAAAAAAATATCTTCTAATAATTATTTTGAATTGGGAAAGCGAAATACGTTGGTCACACGATTTTAGGTAAATAAATATCGTAATTAGAAATTAAAGTAATGCTATTTCAAGCCAAAAACAATAGAAAAAGCTATTTTCTGAGGAAAAATTAAACTTAAACTTTGTATATTTTTTAAAAAAAGCTGCTTCGTAATTTCAAACCAGAATTCGCTCTATTTGTGTTTATTTGTTGTACTCCTTATTTTGTAGTACCTAGAGACTAATAAAACACCGATTTTATCGATAAAACGAGTTGAATTTTCGTACTCGTAACACCCGAAACAGAACCATTGTAACACCCGAAACAAAGAAAAAAATTATAAAAAAATAGTAAAACGTTTTATTTAACAGTGATTGTATGTTACATGGTTTGTAAATGTCATACTTTAGAAGTCCTGTAAGTTTTAGGTATGATTCCTTAAGAAAATTCGCTAAATTTCGAGTAAATGCAGCAACAGTCAGAACATAGAGGCAAAATCTCGTAACGCCCGAAACGCACACTTTTCGAATCATATTTTCGTTATCCTACATTCTAAGCTGTACAAACTTTATTATTAAGATAAAACAACTAAAAACGGACAGATTAAGGCACTAACAATATTAAAATACTATTTCAAAATACATGAAATTGTTGAATATGTGTGTACGAACGTAACACCCGAAACGATGGAATGACCCTAATATTACTGGTTAATGATTGTAACGAGTTGAAAAAGTACTGTTTTTGCGCCAATCGGCGTAAACGCTCTTAAAGGCATACGTGCAACTGGCGCAAAGTGCCTTGTTTCCAACAAAATAAAAATCTAATGTGCGATCTGCTCACATGCTAGTAAAACCAAACGTATACTCATAACATTTGGTGGCATATGCAAGGAACTAATAAATAATAAATATCTTTGGACAATCTCACACAGCGCCATCTAGTCCCAAAGTAAGCAATTAATATGCTTGTGTTATGGGTGCTAGCTTAACGGATATACTACTTATATACTTTTTTTTTTAAATACATACATATTATACATTGTAACACCCAGACCCGACAAATTAAAATTCATCATTTCAATTTCTGCCCGGCCGGGAATCGAACCCGGGACCTCTCGGCATAGTAGTCCGTTCTGAACCACTACACCAAACGGCCGACAAACTAACAAAACTAGTATGCAAGCTTACGGGGATTATTCCCACCTCTCGTTCCCACCGCTGCAACTCCTGTGTAGCTAGCTAGGATCTACAGCATCTACAGCTTGACCAAAAAAGACCAGTGAAGGTCAAATTTGTCCTGAGGAAAGTTAAACTGTCATTGGACCCGCAACGAAATTAATCAGAAGAACATAGGAGGAGTTCGAAGTTATGGTTTTAATTCCCTTCAGTACTAAGCGAAACTGGCTTGTGTACCGCAGCCTTTAGTTATGACGTCCAGTGATACCGAACTTCCTTATTATTAAGAGGGTAATTTAATACGAGCGTCTTCCTCCGGGACACCCCTAGCGGTCCCTCCGCAAATGTCTGTAGACACAATTCATTTATTTCTGCTAAGAGCCATTCAGCACTTTCCGGGGCGAATTTATCTTCTATTTTTGTAGGCAAATTGGGTGAGCGATTACAATTTATTAATGGAGATGTAATCTTATTGATAACCCACATTTCTGTTATTTATTCAGTTTTAGGGTCTAGGTAGATTACAGTGGATGAATTGAGAGAAAATGCTGATCCATAACAAACAGTTATTATTATAATCCAAGGTTAAATAGACCTTAAATGGATATCTTTAGTGCTGAACTCCAGAAAAAACTATGGTGCTGCAATCTTTAGGACTAACTAAATCTTCCCGGTTTTGGTTGTTGGAGTTTGGTTGTTCAGTTAGGTGTTCCTGTATTCCACACTCTATAGGCATAGCTGCAATGCGCTTGTCAGCTAGCTATATCAGTGTGTCAATGATCTCCACTCTATTCCAGAGAATCTTTCTTCCCCACCCGTGGGTCTATTAGGACAGCACATCAAGCTTAATACTGAAGTATCTTAAATTGTTGTAATAGGGACGAATTTGCAACTAACAATGTATAAACAGTTTCGGAGATATAACATCTCCCTGCCTCACGCCTCGCTGCAGAGGAATTGTCCTCGTGCTCTGCTCCTGTACTCGGACCGACATGGTGGCGTTTCTGTACAGGCACTTCAGCACCTCGATATACCGATAGTCAATATGGAACCCTGGAGAGACTGCAACCCTACCCAAGTCGCGATCGAATCAAAGGCCTTCTCATAGTCCACGAACGCCAAGCAAGTTATAAACTGATATATGCCGTCGCTTTTACATTTTTCATAAAATTACCCTAACAATATTTATTTATACCGTCATGTTGATGCAACCTTCTTTGACCCCTCACCGTGTTGAAACTCAAGACTCTCAATTACAAACTTTTACAAAGCAACTAAAGTTTTAAACAAGAGAAGTTAACAATAATCTAATTAAAAATACAAGACAAACTCGGGGTTAGCTACAAGATTGACTGCAGAATCTTGAAATATGTTTATGAATAAAGATAACGTTTCTTCTTAGAACAAGAGAATTTGTATTGGCAGATTCGCGATCTTTGTTGTTTGATTTCATTAACTGTATATTGATTTTTTTAGTTTAATCATCATCATCAACAACATCTTTACATTCCACTACTGGACTATGAGCCTCCTCCACTATAGTGGAGGGTTTTACCTTAATCCCCACGCTTGGCAGGCGGGTTGGAGATCGCAGTTTAAAAGATTGATGTTTTTCAGAGAGCGCTGCTGTTGCCCGTTCTGTTTGATTGTTTGCTTTTCCCTAAGTTTTTTAGTTGATTACTAAATTAATACATTTAACTAGCTGCCCCGGTGAACTTCTTACCGCCTATATTCATCAAAAATAATGTAAGATTCTAACGGTGAAAGAATTTTTCAAATCGTCCCAGTAGTTTCGGAGCCTATTTATTACAAACAATCAATTTTTTACTCTAATATTATTGTGTAGTAGATAAATGCGTCGGTCCTATTCATCGGTGCTTTATCTGTATTCTGTAGCATTGACAAACATACCTGTATGGATGTTTAGAATTAGCAGCATAAAATACAAAATTGTCGATTGCCATGACAGCTAGAACTTCAAGCATTCGAGAACTAGATTAAATGGATCGAGAACCATTCACACATCGAGTTTTTATCGAATAGAATTTAAATGGTGGCTTGATGAGTTTTAAAATTACCTATATTAATTTTAATGGGGCGCTCAGAATCTGTTTTTGTTGGGCTGATTACTCTAAATATGGTGAAAACTATTCGTGATTTATGGCTTCGATAACGGTTTTAGCAATTAAATTGCGTTACATACGACTCATAAACAGGATGGAAAATATCCATTTACGAAATATGTACAGTCAGCTTCAAATAGTTCGTGACACCCAAATTAGCCAGTAAGTTCGCAACACGTCAATAAGGTTGTATTGTATAGTCAGCTGTAGANACGAGACTCACTATTTGACTGATTTACTGAGAATACAATCTTCACAACAAGCGCTACAATTTTTGTTTACAAAAAGTTGAAATAAGTTAGAAATAAAATTCGCCACGAAGGTGACGATGAGAACCGTGGCGATGAGAAATAGCCAAAAACCAAAAAATGACCTCATTAACCTTCTTAACCGACATTTATTGTCTACATACTTAATTTTGTTTGGGAGTAGGTAGGTATGTTCCTGACTTACTTTTATGTAACTTACTAAATAAATAGTACTAAATTGAGGATTCCTGGTGAAGCTCGCTCGCTACCACCTTCGGCCTGTGGGTGGAGTACTTAGACCATCCTTAGTCTGAGGCATAGATAAGAATAAGATCTGAGGTGAAGTGCAGGTCAAGAGCATCCCGAACGAACATCAAGCGGAGGTGGATTATACTAAGAGCAATGATATTATATAAAAACAAAAAATATCATTGACTAAGAGCATAAATCAACATTAGTCTGCAACCTGTCTTAATAATATTTTACTAATATTCGATCAATAGGTAGTCATTCAGTAAATAATTGAGTTTTTAATTAATTTATGTATAGTCCGCGACGCGGCGCTATTAATATTATTTATAACGGTAAATATTTGTTATTTTATTAGTTTTAATTTTATACTTAAAAAAAATATATTATTATAAAAAAATTTGAATTTGAATTTACTTATCGAGAAACGAAACGTACCACCTATCAACTTATGACATAAAATATGTCAATCAATGTCAGTGTCAGTCATAAAAAAAACTTTCATTGTTTTGAAACGGGGAATCACCTGGTTTTACAATTTGTTTAATCATTTTAACTTCCTTCAGGCTAACTTATAACAAATAAGAAATTCAAATCGTAAATTGATACCTAACCTAGTTTATATTTATTAGTCATTGTTCAGTGATAAAGTTTTATCACGCACGAACGTTCAAGTCGTTATGGACTAGTGGGATTTTTACCTAAAATCATGTTCCTATCTAGATATTTGGGTACTAGATCTAAGGTATGGAAGAATATCTTCTTCTCTGAAGCAGCTAGCAGCAGATTCATATCGCCATTCCGTAAATACACCGGTAAATATGACATAACCTTAAAATTCTCATTGAACCATCTTCCTTAAACTTGATTTACTCCTTGTTATTTATCTTTAATGCAATAGCTTAACTCTGTTTAAGAGAATATTATTAGCATAATATGCACACAGCAACCACTGTGGAAAAAATAATTTAATTCCTACCAAAAACTTTGTGTGTGTGTGATTCACTGCCTTATCTTTGAAATCCATTAAATTATAACCTTTTAATATTAATTTTCAGGTGTAACATGCAACATTCAGCAAGAATACGTATGCATATGTCATCATTTTACCAAAAAAGTACAAATACAATCAAGAAAATCATTCTTATTAGAAAATCAAAGATTTTATACAAAAAAATTAACAGATGACCTAACAGAGGCTCAAGTTATTCAGAATGAGAAAAGTAAGTACATTTTTACTATGTTTTCATCTATATTAAAGACCTAACCTAAATCAAACCTGATTGAAAGTGAAAAATTATAAATTATCACTATAACAGCTGGTAGATAATGACTTATGGCATTAAGCTCGCCTTTTTGTACTGAACATTGTTGTGTGTGCAATAAAGTCTTTAAATAAAATAACAAGATTTGGCAACAAAACACTTTTAAAAAGGTATTTAACCTCCTGACGTTTGTACCTGGAAGACATTAGTATTAGTTTGTCAGTCTGACTGTGCCACAGATGAAATTATTTGGAAATGCGGGCGGGTGTAGAAAATTCATCGCGCCTGAGCAGACGACGCCGCATGTACCTGTGTGTAATTGATATTTTTCACCAAAAACTTACTACCTGCATATTATGTTCCAGATCTCACAAAAATCCGACAACTATTCCCACAACCTCGTGTGACGCTTAACGAGTTCACAGCTAAAACTCCACAGAAGGTATTTGAAATACATTACAAACAGCACATGGTTGCTGGCAGAAAGAAACTAGCTCAAGGCGACTGGACTTGCACATACGCATTCATATGGCCGGAGAAAATGAAGTTTGACAGGTAAGAAAATAAATCAACAATGTTACCAGTCATCTTTTCACCAAATGAAATCCACTGCAGGGCAAAGGCCTCCCCCAAGGATTTCTACAATGACCTGCGCCGCACATTTAGGAAGATCATCGGTCCACCTAGTAGTGGGAGACCTGCCTACGATACTTCTTCCAGTCCATGCATCAATTTCCAGTCAACTTTTGATGAAAAGTCTAATAGAAAAAGCAAAGAAAAGTTGTGAGATTATTTCGCCAAATCAATGGACTATTCATGATCTATACTTATAATAAATCTGTAGAGAGGTCAATTCTGTACATGAAATATATTTTCAAAATAACTATCAGGGGGTGATTAGTGATCGATACTGATGCCAAAAATGCAATCAGTAAAATTTTTGTCTGTCTGTCTGTCTGTCTGTCTGTCTGTATGTTCCTTATAGAAACAAAAACTACTCGACGGATTTTAACGAAACTTGGTACAATTATTCTTCATACTCCTGGGCAGGTTATAGTTTTTTTAATATTGTAACATCATCACAAATACCTACTCTATGATATAAAATTTAAATGTATAATAATATCACCATTATCATTGAAATTTAAATAGTTTTCAATATAGTAACATTATTTGGACTGCAATTTGAATAGTAATTTATTTAAAAATGAAAAAATAGTAAATGGTAAAGTGTTACTATAATTATATAAATCAAAATAAATAATACTATACATAAAATATTTTATTTTTGTAAATCACATAACATAGTGTTAGCACATATCTATCATATAACTCATTAAGAAGCCTTAAAATACTATTTCCTTTGACTGTATTGAAAAAAAACATTGACTTTTTTCTTATTTTGGCTCTCCTGCAAAATTTCATAATTTCGTTTAGTAACGGTTTAAATTTAAAGGTGCGATTTGTATGAAAAAATCTAAACCGCGTAAGATAGATGAAGGGAGTAAAACGGGATCCACGCGTACGAAGTCGCGGGCGGCCGCTAGTATTTTATAAAAAAATATTATTTTTCAGTACAGCCATCTCTAAACGACATGCAGCTGACAAAGCAGCGACACAAGCATTAATGTGGTTATATTTAAATAAACGAATAGACAACCAAGGAAATCCAATATATGACAGGTAGGATGAACAAATTTTACTTTATTCTTCTTCTTCTCTATGGCTATTGTGTTTCCATGTTTGGCAATTTACTTTATTTCTTAAAGGTTCATCCACACCAACGCGTGCAGATTGCCATCGCCGGCGCGATCATAGGCCAATGACAGGTCGTGCGACCCATGACATTCCGCGCGACCCATGACATTCCGCGCGACCTGACATTTGCCTATGATCGCGCCGGCGATAGCAATCTGCAAGCGTTGGTGTGGTTGAAGCTTAACATAATCAATGTATAGATGGTATTCATGTCAAACTCCATTGAGACTTCAACTTCGATTGGCTCAGTTACTGGAGTTTGACTTCTATGTATTTATTTTAAAAAAAAAGAAAGAAATCTGGAACTGACATGGAATCGAGTCTCCCCTTTGTACATTTATGCAATGTAAAGCAATAATACCATAAATCAGTGGTTCCCAAAGTTGTCTGGGCTACGACTCATCTAATACAAGCTCCCAAACTCGGGACCCACCTATAGGAAATTTCGCCCACTGCCCAGCAGTTGTATCGGAAGGGTGGTGTGTCATTCTACAGGTAGGGCCCACTCAATGTTCGCTCGCGACCCACCACTGACTGGGTCGCGACCCATAGTTTGGGAAACCCTGCCATAAATAATACTATGCATAAATGCACACCAATAAAATATATTTTCCTATGTATTCACTAATTTATTATTTGGTACTCATTGTGCAAACTTTAAACTGTCCAAATGTAATGTACATTATTTAATATTGCAGGGAGGTGATATCCGAACTTCGGGACACCGTGAACAAGCCAATACAAATAACTATAAGTGAGAAATCCGTGGAACGAATAGATCGGATATGGAACGAGTATCAAAATGGGATAAGTAGGTTTGTTTTTATTAAATTATATTTTTAAACTGTAGCAGCATGTAATTGCTTGTATAATATGAGTAAATTATAATAATTATATCTTTCAGGGCCAATCTATGAAGCAGCCTTCAAAAACGCTGCTTGCAAAGAGATCACAACACCAGTATTATCTAAGGAATCCTCTTTGGACGATGGTAAGTAATCAATGAGGGCTATCGTTTTTATACTTAACAGTTGGCACCCCTGGCGATTGACAGGACCTTACTCTACAGTGACGCCATCTTGATGAGTGTAAATGCGATAGTCCTCCTACTACTTTAGCTCTCACCAGTTGGTGCCACTGTCTTCGCTACTAGCAAGTGACAGGACCTTACTCTACAGTGGCGCTAACTGGTGAGCGCTAAAACGATAGCCCTCATTGTTGTGTTCCGGCAGTTAGAGGTAAGATAGCCAGTTACTGTTCCTCTGTGGTTGAGGATTTCGGGTGAAGCTCGCTTCCACCTTCGGCCTGATCGTCACTTACCATCAGGTGAGATACAGGCCAAGAGCTTCCTCGTTGTGGATAAAAAAAAAACATAAAATCAGGTCATTTAGTCTCCACTGCAGGAGCACGACCCTCTCTAATTTACTAAAGCCCGGTCCGTGAGCACGAAGAATTTTGTCCAATGACCCCTAGCTATCCATCCTTATCGCTCGCGCGTAATTATATTGCTGTCGCGACTGTGCGACTGGCACCTGCAGTGAGTGTGCGAGCGCGATAGCAACATAATTACGCGCGAGCGATAAGGATGGATAGCTTGGGGTCATTGGACAAAATTCTACGTGCTCACGGACCAGACTATAGAGACAAATGGAGGATTTGGCATACACTCCCCATGTTTGCCAGACGGGTTGGTGAGGCCATATGTTTGCATTTGTCTCTTAGTCGCCTCTTATGACATCCACGAGAAGTTTGGAGGTGGTCCTATTTATTCTACTATGCCTGGTACACTGTAAAAATTAATCATTGAAATTGTTGTTTATGCCAATAACTGCCATCTATTGTCAACATTGAGAACTCTGTCGCTCTAACTAAAAAGTGTTTGTGCTCTAACCGTGCTTTATAATAATTCCATAGTTTTCGGATAGATGGCGCTAAATCATAATTCTTTGGATTGTTGCAGATGAATTTTCAGATGATGAAATGGAAAATGAAGAAATTGGTGAAGTAACAGGTACCTACATATCCAAAATCATTTCTCATTTCCAATTCCAAATTTTCCATTTATTTCGATGAAATTTAGTAATCGAAAAATAACCTGGGAGAAAGAGTTGTTTACCTTTTTAAGCCAATTCTATGGGGTATGAAATTTTATTATTCGCTGTTAAATTTTATTCATTGGCAAACCAAATTTCAACCGTAGAAGCACTGTACTTGCACCGATCTTGACTAACATCTTTCCAAATTCATCAAGAGCATTTTTAATCTTATGTAAGTACCTTTGCAAAAACTTTCTGCTGCCTAACTAAATCTAAATTGAACTGTATGTGCACTAGAATTGCACCCATAATCGAGTGCACTTGAAAACCCTTACTCCATAACACCAGTCCATCAAAATTGAACTCAAAATGCACTGAACTTGCACCGAATTTGCACTTAAATTGCACTCGCCCGTACAGAATCGCGCTCTCTCCACCCGGTGTATGGAAGAAACATTCGTCCGCCGACTGAAGAGACGCTACAAAGAAGAGATAGGACGCTTAAACAGAAGTTCCAGGTGTATGACGAGGAAATAACGCCGCTGCCTATTGATGGATATGCGTAAGTATTGATCGTATTTTTCCTTAACAAGTACGAGCGAAGTAATTTTGACATATTATGACGTGACAGAGCATACAAATCTGAAGTCTCGCTGACATTTGACGTAGAGGTGGGCGCCGATATAGAACTAGCCGGCGGCGGCGCGCCGACTTTTTGACTTCGGCGGCGGCGGCGTCGGCGGCGTGACCTTGACCTTTGACCTTGACTTTGACTCATTATTTCTTTAAAAAAATCTGTTTGTTTACAGTCTGTCGTCAAGACTATAATTAGGTTTGAAATTGGTTGGGTTTTAACAAGGTAGAGCCACTGCTTCGTCTCTCCCAGTAAATTAGCTTATCAGCTCTTTTGATCATTTATCTTATCTTGTTCAGGGCCGCGCATGAGCGTAGTGCACGTCGAATCGGTGTCTTTTGTGCTCCCCCATACCTTTATTCCCTCTCATCCGCAAATATCCTATCCATAAAGCTAATCGAGTGCTTGTGTGAGATGGACCTACAATCTTCTGGTGCCGACTATGCCGACCCCAGGAGACCCATCCTTGTTCTCGCTAGCCCGTCGCATTCGCGCAGTAGATATTTCATAGACTCTGCATGTTCAGCCCATCTTGTGGAGCATGTGGTTCGTAGTGTAGTGTCCTGTTAACGCACCCGTGATCACGCGAGCTTGCCTTCTGTTTATTTATTTATTTATTTATTTATTGAAAAAGATACACCAACGACATATAACTTTACATATAACAATAGTTTCCATAAAATATGAGTTTTTCCCATGATCTGAGTTTCCCTTTAGGAATAATTTGGAGTGGCTCATACCGTTGGAGCTTACTCATTCAGCTCTATGCCTCCTACTTATTGCCTCATAGCCATGTGTGCGGTGCTTATAGAAGAGGGCACTATCGGCTCTGGACCAATAGGTGTCGCCTCTGATCCTTGTTTCGCTAGACTGTCGGCACTCTCATTGCCTTCGATTCCTGTATCTCCAGATAGGTACCCACATTAGGGTCACCCTGTCAAGCCTTCCAAGTTTATTCAGTGCCAAGATTGCCTCCAGAACGAGTCTAGATCCAACCCTCATTGACGCAATGGCTTTAAGTGCTACCTGACTGTCGCGCTTTTTATTCACCTGTTCTATATTCCTTAGTGCACACATGATTAGGTCATAGGTTTCAGCTTGAAATACTATTGTAAACCTCCCTAAGCTTTTACTGTACATGGATCGTTTGGAGTAGACTCCCGCTCCCGATCCTGAGTCCATCTTGGAGCCGTCAGTATACTCACCAAAATCTTATGGTCCCCTTTTCCAGACTTCCCTTGTTGGTATAGACACTTTAAAATCCTTGCTAATCATGTACCTAAGCTGCATTGTATTACTTCATCATCATCAACATCATTTCAGCCACAGGACGTCCACTGTTAAACATTGGCCTCCCCCAATGACTTACACATCGCACGGTTGGTAGCGGCGTGCATACAGCGCCTTTATCAGGTCGTCGGTCCACCTTGTGGGTGGACGTCCCATGCTGCGTTTTGCGTTAACTTTTATGCCGTATCTTTTCCATTCCAGGAGTTTGAAAGCGTCCCCCAATGCCGCGGTGAACAGTTTCGAAGATATAACATCTCCCTGTCTTATGCCTCGCTGTAGAGGAATCGCCCTCGTACCTTGCTCCTGTACCTACTCGGACTGACATGGTGGCGTTTTTGTACAAGCACTTTAGTACCTCGATATACCGATAGTCAATACGGCATCGTTGGAGAGACATTGGCATTGGAAGACGCTTTCAAACTCCTGCAATGGAAAGGATAAGTATACGGCATAAACGTTAACGGCGAGTACATCACTCACCTTCGGTTTGCCGACGATATTGTGGTCATGGCAGAATCGCTGGAGGACCTCGGCACCATGCTCAAAGACCTTAATCGAGTTTCCCAACAGGTAGGCCTTCGGATGAATATGGACAAAACGAAGCTTGTCTCGAACGTTCATGTTGCGCTCTACCCGGTGTCGGTTGGAAGTTCGATTCTTGAGATTGTTGACAAGTATGTCTACCTCGGACAAACGATTCAGCTAGGTAGGTCCAATTTCCAGAAGGAGGTCAATCGTCGAATTCAACTCGGATGGGCAGCGTTCGGGAAACTACGCAACAACATCTTTTCGTCCAAAATACCTCTGTGCCTGAAGACGAAAGTCTACAACCAATGTGTGTTACCTGTGATGATTTATGGCTCGGAAACGTGGCCTCTCACTATGGGCCTTATACAGAAGCTCAAAGTTGCACAGCGTGCTATGGAGAGGGCTATGCTCGGTGTTTCTTTACGAGATCGAATCAAATATGAGGAGATCCGTAAACGAACTAAAGTCGCTGACGTAGCCCGACGGATTAGGAAGCTGAAGTGGCGGTGGACAGGGCACATAGTACGCAGAAGTGATGGCCGATGGGGCAGCAAGGTTCTGGGGTGGAGGCCGCGTACCGGAAAACGCAGTGTATTACTTCCCATGTGCGTTATTGCATCTAATTGAGGATCGCTCCCCATTCTTGTGTGTTTGATGCAAGGTTTGAATGTTCTCCAAAGTCCCGCCCCCTTCAGTCAGTGCAGCGCCTTTCTTGCGTCCACTTCTAGCGCCAAGTACAGTGGAGGCAGTCGCAGAATAATTTCCAATGCTTAGTTGGCGTAGTCCTAAATGCACTCGGTATTGCTAGGCATGCAGTTCTTTGCAATTTTGTGTTAGAAACGTTAGTAATCTATGCCGGAGGTCGCGGATTCGATTCCCGCACAGTATAAATATTTGTAAAAAAAAACAAATAGTCAGGAGTCGGCGCGCCGACAGCCGATCGTCGGCGGCGGCGGCGTGAAAAATTTCGCGGCGGCGGCGGCGCGCCGGCGTGGCGCCCACCTCTAGTCAGCTGTCAACTTCATTTCGAGTCAGTGAAATTAAAAAGGCAGGCCTCCTACTAGGTGGACCGACGATCTAGTAAATGTCACGGGAAGAGTCTGGATGCGGGCAGCGCAGGACCGTTCATTGTGGAAAACCTTGGGGGAGGCCTTAGAGCTTAATCCTGGTAGAAGACTTCCAAGCAAAAGGATTTACTCGTTGACCACGCGGCTCTAGTGTCTCGCCAGTCGGTCTTTCTTACAAGTAAATTTGAATTTACATGTATTATAAGTAAGCACTTGGCATAATTAAAACAATTTTGTAATCTGGAGGCAGACTAAATTGACTGTAAAGCTGAAGCGTAAACTTAGCTTTCCTTCGAGCTCAGTCTGATTCATTAAACTTTAATTGTTCTCACTCACATCTCGTGGCTCTTATGCCTTTGTAATAAAGACTAACTCTCAGATTAACAGGGCCGGTTAAGTCTCAGAGATCCAGTTAAGATTGAAATTTATTCCGGCGATAAATCATCGCGTTCATTACGATTACTGTTAGCATTGCGACATCAATATCCATTTTGTAAAATGAATGCGCTGTTGTTTCTCAAACTGCTTTTCACCCCTTTATGTTTTGTTCAAAAGGGTACTTACTTAAAAGTAAGTACGCCGAACAGCCGATATTCCATAAACACTAAACATGACGTGTTGAGGAGTTATGAGAGTGTTATATTGTACAAGCCTTGCTGTCACCCTGAAATGTTAGCAAGATTGAAGAAGACACAGGTAGAAAAAAACGAATATCAAACGCCTTATACACTATACAGTACTTCGTAGTATTATTTGATTAGAATACGTTTCAAACTGTGGAATGGACTGTCGTCTGCGGTGTTTCCGGACCGATACGACCTGCAAGCTTTCAAGAAGAGAGCATATCTCCACCTAAAGACCGGCAACGCACCTGTAACGCCCCTGGTGGGACTTCGGATGTCTATGGGCGACGGTAATCACTTACCATCAGGTGATTCGTCTGCTCATTTGCCTCCTGTCACATAAAAAAAACGTTATAACCCAAAAATACATACCATACTAGGCTTACTGTTTACACTGATTAGTATCAGACGCATCATTGCCCCAAAGCTTGAGAGCCGGTGACCTCTGTATTTAGTTGTGTAACGCGATTGGTTCATGAACGGTCGAAGCTAACGATTGTATTTGCCTCAAACTTATTACTGGTCTCGCCAAGGTGAACAAGGCTTCTTCAGGCCATTAAGCTATCAATGACAGCAAAATGAGAATATTTGCTAGTAAACGCAAAATAAATTGTATTTGTGATACCTCTACTCAATCAATGCTTATATTTACAAGAGCAGTTACGCGTGCGATTGTCTCACCAGGACCAAATAGATATCTCTAACAAGATGAGCACGAGCATTCATTCATACTCTTAGTGAAGAATCCATTATCCAGTCATATGTAGTACAGTCAGAGTCAAATAGTTCATGACACTTAGGTTTTAGGCTACTTTAAAGTAGCTAATAAGTTCGCAACACGTCTTTGTTACAATAAGAATAAGGGTGTGTAATTTGTTGCCAACTTTTGGCTACTTTGAGTGTCACGAACTATTTGAGGCTGACTGTACAAACTTTTTTTACAGACTCCTATTTATGATTGTTATAAAAAATCTACATCAAGATTAAAGTAAACAGACGATTGAAAATTGGCTCTCAATAACGTGATCTTAAGACGAGAGATGAAAAAATAACAACATTAAGCTGCGTTTCCACTACCGAATTTGTGTACGAGAAAAAATCTACGCGATTTAAAGTTGAATCCTCTCACTAAGCTCTGCAGAAAATGAGAGAAATGTGTAGGAGTCGGTGTAGAATACACAACTGTATACGTTGCAGTGTGCGCACATCCGTGCATGTTTATATTGATTACTGATTTTAACAGCCCGACCAAACGGTCGGCCGATTAAGTCTACAGTCGGGGTGTCTTATTCGCGCATTGGTGGAAACGCACCCTTAGTTTTGAGTGATGTATGCTGTATAAGATATTGTGTGTATCGTATGCAAATAAAAGAAGATACTTGATCGTTTACATTTGTCTTCAGCAAATATTATCTTATTATAAA